AGGCTGTCTCTACCGGGACGCCACTAGGTGCAAGTCACGCGATCGGCCACCAACTTGGACCTCTGGGTGTCGGGCACGGCGAGACGAGCTGTATCCTGTTGCCCGCGGTGTGCAAATTCAACGCGGCAAAGGGGGCCAACAATGCCAGACAAGCGCAAGCTCGAGAACTGTTGTTGGGACTAGATCCTGTTCAAACTGTGATCAAAGCCAGAGGTCTGACAGAGAGCGACCTTGACTTAGGCGACATCCTCGATATTGTGATTCGAGAACTCGACATGCCCCGGTCCCTCGCTGCGGTCAAGATTGGTAGAGACAAATTCGATCTGCTTGCGGTGAACAGCCTGCATGATTTGTGGATCCAGACCAACGCCTTTCCCATTACAGAGAAGGATCAAGTGTTGGAAATCCTGAACATGGTGGCAGAGTAAGAGTAGCCATGGCGGGTTGGGACGTGTGCGTGTTTTGGAGTCTGATACATATGTACCTCGTACAGAGTTCCAAGGAGGGAGGAAGAGAGACGGAGTCACAGGCCAAGAACCCCGCGGCCACTTGGAGTTCCGGGCTGTGCGGGTGTTGGTTGGTACCAGGTACAGGCGCTCCACCCCCACAGATCCGGGCGGTCTAGGCGTGGAGCCGATCAATGCTCGGCGCATCGGCTGCCCCTTGACAGTCGGTTAGCAATTATTGTTCCTTGTCTTCGGCTCTAGGGTCACGTGTTTGTTCCCCCAACATCCACCTACCGATTCACAATTCACTGAGCACAGTCATGGCTTCAAGTGATATGTGAACAGTGATTGACTCACTCTATCTTTCTTACACGTCGTGGACAGTCACACGAGGAGACAATATCACCTTCCCACTGGACGAGGCTAGACAAGGCTAGACGAGATTACTGAAATGACAGACTCCTTACAGACCATCTGGAAGAGATGCGCCTATTGTGAACGAACCTTCTCAAAGCTGGAGCACTTGCGGCGTCATCAAAGATGGCGTAAGCTTCGACATGCCCCTGCTATCTGATATCTGTCCCATCAACCAAGTTTCCTCGCTGACCACTCCAATCTAGATACTGGAGAGAAGCCGTTCAAGTGTGCGTTCTGCGGCCGAAGATATGCTCGGAGGTATGTGTGTGGTGCCCCTCTCTGATATAGGATGGAAAGAGTCAAATATCAAATGCTGATGCCTTTTCCTGACATAACAGCGATGTGCTGGCGAGACATATTCGCAACCATCATCCAGCTGCTGATAATGGCCCAGAGGGGATCGTCGTCGAGCCCATAGTACATTCATCAAAGCCTCGGGATCTGCCTCATATCTCTCAGTCTCCTACTCGGACGCATACTCCGGCCCAAACTCAACGTCGATCTGCAGAAGTCAGCGAGATGAATTTCAACCCAGCAGAGCCTGCGGAGCACTCGGCCACCACGATCGACCGAGTCCGCATTGTCCCATCGACAGTGGGAGGATCACGACCAACTATGGCCCCTCAGACTCCCTCTATGCGACCAAACTCAAGGCCCGACAACAGACCAGGAGATATTTCCCTGACCTGGAAATCCCCAATCCTGGGGCCTCCTCTTCGACCTGATAATCTAGCGAGTCAACCACCGAACAACCCCGTGGGCGGTAATGTGACCCGCGTTCAATTCAGAGGAAATGGTCACCTCTGCTCTGAAGAGACTGTAACGCTGAATCATGAGACGATCGAACCGTCCCAGCTATCGGGGAACCATCGCAGCCAATCAGTGCACAACAACGGCACCTCACAGATGGACATCTCGCACGCCAAACCTACAGAACCACTAATCAGCCACCATGGGTTGGCTATGCCTGCCTCGCCATATCCAGAGGACATGGACATCCCCGACATGATGGAAAGGGGAATGACAGACTTTAATGCCGAAGACATTGATTTCACGCACACTTCTAATGCCCCTGATCTGCTCTGGCTGGAATCTACCATCGACCTGCCCAACTTGGAAAACCTCATCGCTACTCTCCCGACTCCTGTTGAAGACCATCTATCATGCCAGGACCAACCACTTACCAAAGGCTTGGCCTCCGACAGACTCCGTCGTGTCCAGAAGGCGTGGCCTTCGAAACTGGTACGTCCCATTCGACTCATACGGCGACTTTGGCAGACGGCACTCCAACATCCCGCAGACAACATTCTGTGTCACGGAGTCAACGAATCCCGAGCCCAGAGCCAGGGTCCTCCCCGGCATGACAATCCGTCAGGGTCACGGTGGCACATGGATGCCAGTTGCAGGGACAGACTCTTGCAGGACAGCGACAAAATCTTTGGCAAAGAAGAGTCTCTGTACACCATGCTGGTCGACCAGGGCGACACACCTCAGAGCTTGACGTCGACGACATACGATACCAATTTTCCGTCGGTCGAGACGTTGGACATGAGTCTGGATCTCTACTTCGAGCGCTTCCACCCCTCTATACCGTTTGTACACCAGCCGACCTTCGATGCGAGGATAAGTCCCAGTGCGGTTCTTTTTCCAATGTGTCTTATTGGACTGTCGGCACTAGACCCTAGAGGATCGCGGGACTTTGTCCGCAGGGAATGGATGGTAAACATGGCCCCCCCCTTAGTTCTTCATCCAACAGCCTAGCTGATTTGATCTTGAGAAACTCGTCCATTCCTGTCGCCTGGAGCTTACGTCCCAAGCCCTTGGTAAGCGTCCACCTTGGGAGCTCATTACCGCCGTGGCAGCTTCGTTACTTGTGCTCAATCTTGCTCTTTGCATCTCGGTAAGTGCTGGCTATTCTGACATTCTTGTGTCCTAATCAATCTGTGAAGCGGCGACTAGATGAGAATGAAGCCCATATGCTCTGCATCCAAACATTGCACGTACGTCCAGTGAGAGCCTTCCAGCTGTTTTATATCTAACTTGCCCAGGTGGCAGAAAAGCACGGATTATTTGCGGCTTGTGACGGCAAAGAGGTCGACCTCAATTTGATGGGGCCGTCATCGGACCTTGAACGGCTGTGGAAGCCTTGGGCGAGGGTGGAATCTGTCAAGAGGTATTCTAGCCCTCTGGGTGCTGTTGCCCATTGACACAGCTAACTTATTTGCCAGGATGGTCACCTGTCTCCTGATCATTGACGCCACGTACGCCACCCTTTGGGGCACGGCAGGGGTGCTCGAGCTAGACAGACTCGAGATCATTTCTCCTTGTAAATCATCACTGTTCGAGGCTGGCGATGCGACGACGTTTGCACGCGAGGTGGAAACCAACGCCCAGATCATCATGCCGCGGATGACGCTGCAGCGAATGTCGAAATTGTCGTCGGCCATGCTCGGGAGTATAGGATTGCAAGCACTACTAGCTGCCATCTCGATCCAACACTCCGTGGCCCGTCATAGACTATTTCCCGGTCAACTCGGCAGCGACGAGACAACAGCCGCCACGCCGGTGGAGAGATACGCGCTGGACAACCACGCAAAGACCATTGCTCCCCTCCTGGCTACGATCCCCAGCAGTCACAGGGACAACTTCAACCAGGACCACCGCCATGCCATGCTCCTCTGGAACAGTCTGTGTATGTCCACCACAGTCGACATGGACCAATTTGAGCTCGCCTTGGGCCACAAGGACGCCGACTCCGCGCATACCGCCCTAGAGAACATCGCCATCTGGGCCAAGTCAGCAGAGGCGCGTAGAGCCGCACTCCATGCCGCCCAGATTTTCAGGATCCTCTCGCAGACCCGGGTCTTGGAGCCGGTCTTGCTTTTGCACGGGCACATGATCTTCACGGCCGCGCTAGTCCTGGCGTTTTATGTCTTTAAGGCGACTCCTGCCTCGGAGCAGCAGGCCAGCAATCATTCTTTCACAGGCGTTGGCGACACAGCAGTATTTGAACTGCTGCAAGAGATCGACTGGGCCGAAATCGGCTTGGAGGGACTCGGCGGAGTGTCCTCGTCGTCTTCTCAACTGGTAAATGGACAGTCTTCGACCGCGAAGCACTTTATTAGGCACGGCGGCCCCATCTCCTTTGGTCACGTGGCCGTCGTCGGCGAAGTAACTGCGAGAAAAGTCATTCTCAAGTATGCGCATTTACTAGATGAGGTCGTCAAGTGGGAAGGGTCCGACTACTGCGAGGCGCTCAAGGCGATTGGGGATTTCTTCCATGTTTGACGTGTCGACACTTTTGACAGGCGCGATGGTGTGGATAGAAAGCGAGGGTAGGGAAGAACACCCTCCTATATTGCGAGAAATATATCCAGTTGAGTTCGTGTGTGCGTGGGGGGGCATGTGTCTATATATCTATATATCTATCTATCGCTCTACAAATATGTATCTGTTACGTCCCTTGGTCTCTGCCGAGGACTCGATACTGATAAAATCCCCAAGTATGCCCTATGATCGACCACCCAAGTGATAATAATGGGAATTTTCTCTTCCAAATATGGAAAGTAATATCGTTATTATCATGTGGGGCGCCGTCCGTCCTTCCTCTCCTTCGGGTTGTCTTGTCTCTCCTTCCCAGATTCGTCATCCGTCAGGAACTACATGGTACATGCATGGTACACGGTACACGGTACCTGGTATCTGACGCACATACATACATACATACATACATACATACATACATACATACATACATACATACATACATACATACATACATACATACATACATACATCGTTTCTCGTATGGAGGTTCAGATTTGTTTCTTCTTGGGGTAGATCGGCGTGTCTATAAGTGAGTGACTGAGTGACTGAGTGAAGGGCACCAGACAGACAGACAGTCAGTCAGTCAGTCAGTTACCAGACAGGAGCATGTGCAAAGGTGCAAAGGTTGAAGAAAAGCACCGCGAAAATGAAAGAGAAATAGTTCTTGTTTGTACCTATCCGTGACATCTATTGTCCTTATTAGTCCCCTGTCCTTCCTTTCCGTACGTTCGCATAACGCGCATGTCTCGACTCTACCTAGAAGCTGTCATGATAGTGAAAAGTAACAAATTCTGCTAAGCCCGTACGCCTTCATTCCCTCGTTGTTGCTTTCTGCGCCGCTGGCGCGGGCCCGAATACTGCTTCGCGAACATTGTCCCAAGACGACTGCGGCTGCCCTTGCCCATGCCCCTGCCCCTGCGGCGTGCAGCCCCGGACAGCCTCCTCGAGCAACAACTTGACGTAGCGCTTGTGGGCCCACCCTTCGAGCGAGAGCGGCGCAATGGGACTCGAGGCGGCGACGTCCACGCCAAAATAGAAAAGGCTCTTCATGCGGAACTCGGCGACGGGGACGTCGGCAGACTCCCGATGTATCGTGACGCTCAGCTCAAACAGGCCATCGACGGCGCGCGGGCCGTGAGGCGTGTTGAGCGGCGAGTCGCCGCACCGCAGGAGGATCGCTGTAGGAGTCTTGGACAGCACGACGAAGTGGTTTGTGATTTCGGTGCCGACGTCGTAGTGCGAGCGGAGGAGCTCGGGCCGTCGCCAGAGCTGGTGCGCCAGAGCGGGCGAGGCGCTGTACCGCTGCTGGAGGTATCTGCGCTGGATGGCGTAGGCTGGAGTCGATGGTTAGTATGCGTCTTGGTATTTTATAGTATACGGTAGGAAGAGTGTATGGGTCATCATATAAAGACCGGCGTTCCAGTTCCGTCAACCAATATACAATAAGCGTTAAAGGGGTGTCCTGCGACCCGGACGACGAACGTACCACGACTCGCCCAAACAGCGGCACAGAACGCCTCGATCAACTTTGTCCCTCCTTCGTCATGATCCCTCAAGAGGTCCGGGTCCAGCTGCGACAGGGGGACTTTCCGCACGCAGAGATCATGAAACGTCGGGTTCTTGTTCGGATTAAACCGTCGGTAAAATGGTGTTTGGGAGAGAACATCGCGTGAAGGGTCGTAGGGCTCGAACTGGCAGGATCGTGTCCACCAGCGAAACGCGCCGATGGTTCCTACGCCGCCGCATAGTGCGGCCGTGGATAAGAGTTTCAACGGGGAGAGTTTTAGGCGGGACATTGTATCCTTCCCTCAGAAGGAGAAAAAAGTAAGTCAGGCGCGAAAGGGGAGCGGAGAAAATAAAGAAGGGGGGGGGAGGGGGGCTTGAGGAATCAGGGTAGCGAGTACGAGATACCTACGTTAGAGCACAGGATCGAGCCATTCGTATACAAATGGGTGGCCGATGCGTCTCCATGTCATGTATTCACTTTTGGTAGAGTGGCCGAAGTAAAATCGATGCCCCACAGCGCTTGACCCGATCCTGCACACGTTTTGTCCATTTCCGGCAAGCAAAGAAGCTGAGTGGAATGGCTCTACCTCGTATATCACCTCCAAACTTCAAATTCTATATAGGACCAGAATAAGATATACTCGAAGGACATGGATTTGGGAAGACGTCTTTTTTCCAGGGATACACATATTTCCCTGGTCCCAGCTCACACAAGCTCCCATCCGCAAGTCACAGTACTATGCCCCTGGTGAGGAAACTAATGTATGCCCCACATGAAGCCGTGCTTGTACAAGTCGCAATCGGCACGACTTTTCGCAACAAAGACACCTAGAACTAGCTACATCCTACGTGGTTCTCTAGTGTTCAGTTTAGCACCTGATATCTCTTCGTGAGAGAGAGAAACACCACCAACACACTCAGCAGAGATGGGAAGAAAGACAAGGCAATATTCTTTGAACTCTCTAGCCATCTCCTCTACCTTCAAGGCGTCTGTACGTGTGACATCATACAATCTTCTCAAAAACCAACTTGCAACTCTGGCCCTTGGGCCTGCTGGCGATGATCTGGTCCTCCATTTCCATGTCGCTGTCCATCTGGGGGGACAAGGTCGTGCGACATTGCGAATAGACTTCGCGGAGGAGGAGTTTCATCTCTGCGATGGCGAGGCTGTGAAGGGACAGCGAGTTAGCATTTTGTACGAGAGAAAAGAAGGAACGTGGCTTCAGGCGCGAAAGAAAAAAAACGATGATAATGCAAAGAAAAGGGGGTACAAAAGAGTTAGAGACTTACTGCCGGCCCAGACAACCTCGGCCGCCCACGGAAAAGGCAAAGAACAATCTGTTCCGCTCGGCCTCTCCTTGCTTATCCAACCAGCGCTCCGGGAGGAACTCCAACGGTTGCGGAAACACGACTGGGTCCTTGTGCAGCGTGTACGCCTGACAGCTCACAATGGTGCCGCCGGGGATGAAGTGGCCGTCGATCATGCTCCCTCCTTGGGGCGCATATCGAGGCATCGACATCGGGATGGGCGGGAAACAGCGGAGGCCCTCTTTGACCACCGCGTCTAGGTACGCGAGTTGGTCGAATGAAGTCGTGGCGTTCTCCGTCAGTTCCTTGTGCAGCAGGCCTTGAATGCGTTGGGAGGCCGGTGCGGGTAATGAGAGGTGGTGCATCAAGAAACAGAGGGCATCGCCTGTCGTGTCGACCCCAGCGGCCAGGTGGTCCTTGCATTCGGCTGGCACGGCATAGGGGGCCATATTGGTAGCCTTAGCCTGTGCGTGAAGCTTGGAGAGGAGACTGAACGGTGATGGCGAGGGAGATGCACTGGCCGTCAGGACGTATTCATTCGACAGCGGAGCCGGCTTGGGCGGGCTGATGCGGTGAATGATATTGGAGAGCCACGGCATGTAATAGATTGCGACATTGCCTGAGAACACGTCAATTTCTCCCCACGCCCCCGTTGTGAACGTCACCTCCACAAATCATGGGGGTCTCACGTACTTTTCAAACTGTCGTGATAGGACAATTCTTGCATCAGACGCAAATCCTTTTCATTCCTGTTGGCGTGCGTGCCGTACGGGTGGAAAAGCTGATGAGTCACCCCATCCAGGGCAAAGCAGTGGAGAGATACCTGAGACAGTCTTGGTCAGTTTCGTCGAGATAGCCCAGCACAACTGACAAAGTCCCCTCACATATATGTCGGCAAATCCGTCACTGCCGTAACATTGGTCGAGACACTTGCTTAAAAAGTCCCGGGCGTGCTGGACGATGCCGTTCAAGATGTCGGGCTTCATGATGCTGGTGTTTGCGTAGCGGTCGGCCAAGTATCGCTTCATATAGCTGTGCTGGAACGGGTGGCCGCCGCCGCCCAGAAGAGTTAGCTAACAATTCTCATCATCGAGCACACTCGCGACGTCTCCTCTGGGAGGGTAGATAGAACATACTTCCGCCCGGGGGAGCGTGGAGAATAGCGTGCGCGTCCCAAACTGCGTGAACAGCGAGTAGAAGGGCGTCTTGTCATAACCGCTGCCGCCCGACATGTAGATCTCCTTGGCCGCGTCGGCGCTCGAGAAGGACACCTCGTCGGGACTCAGCCGGACGACCGCGCCGTACTTCTGGTGGAGGCCATGGATGTACAGGCGGCGACCGTGGGTGAATTCGCGGTACTTGAGCACCAGCGACGTCCAGGCCGTGTATTTGGGGCCAGGCAGCTTTGCCAGTGGCGAGCGCAGCCGCCGCACAGCCTCAACGAGTACCGCGACGAGGACAAAGTAAGGTAGAAGTTGTAGAAGCATGGTTGATAGTTGCTGGTGGGAAACAGGTGGTTGGGTCGACCAGTATATCTCCGCTATCGGTGCACAAAGCAGTCGTGTTTCGCTCTCTGTTATCGCTCGGCACAGCTATCTCGCTCGAGAACCAGAGACAATGATAGGACCGGTCTATTCCAGAGCCATGGAAGCTATATATCGAGCACTGAAGAGGCTCAAATTTGGGGCAATGAAACTGCAATTTGATGACACGGTCCAAAGAGGGAAGGTTGTGGCGATGGTGACACCGTATGGACACCCCCTCGACGTCGATGTAGTTGTAGTTGCTTCCTGTATTCCCGACCACAGACTGTCAAGATGACTAAAAGAAGCAAGTATAGAGACGATAATGGCCGCGGTGGTGGTTATTTCCACTGGAGAAGATTCGATAAAATCCGTCTTGTCTATCTTGTCTATTCGTATCTGTCGATCGCTCCACCATCTCCTCATCCTTCCCGATTGGGATTGGCGGGGAATGTCATTTCCATAAGTCCAAAGCATCAATTCCGATAAACAAGCAATTAGATTTAATAATAATGGAACCTCCCCGGACAATCGCCACGAGGGTTTTTCCATCCGTAGTCCTGTCATCCTCTGACAGCCGTCCAGCCTTTCCCTTCTCTCCCCAACTTTCCTCCTCCAGTATAGCGCAATGTCATCCATTAAAGACCAACCGGCCCTTCATCAACGAAGCATGAATGACTTGAGTCTCCCTTATCTTGATTGTTCCCTGTCGCGTCTCCGTGTCCATATAGTTATTTCCCTTCTGGGAGAGCTTCAAACGACTATATATGGTCTGCCGATGTTCCCCTTCTCTGATCCATCGCAAGCGAACAAGTCAAGATCCCCGCACAGGCTTTTCATTACCCAATCCTCTCCACCGACGGCCTTGCCTCCACCACCAAAATGTCTTCTGAGGCGGACAGCACCGAGAAGAGACCCATCACGACCGATGTCCCAGCACAGAATCCTCATCCAGACGTGGCGGAGATGTATCATCTGCCTGTGGAAACCCGAGACAAACCACTCATGCCACCGCCGACCCACGACTCCCTCGATCCCTTGAACTGGTCCAAGCTGCAGAAGTACAACGTCATCAGTATCGTCTGCTTCTTCTATTTCCTGTTGACCTATTTGACCACTGCCCCCGTGCCCTCGTTCTCGCTTCTCGAGGAGCAATTCGATGCCTCGTACAATCAAGTCAACTGGTCCTTTGGCATCTCTGCCTTTGGTCTCGCCTTTGGCCCTCTGGTCACCTCGTCGCTGGCAGAGACCTATGGCCGCCGAGTGGTGACCATTGCTGCCACAGCAATCGCAGTTCTCGCTAGCGGTTGCACCTCGATCAAAGGACAATCCATCGGCCAGTACATGGCAGCCAGGTTTTTCCAAGGGTTTGCGGCCGGCCCTGCAGCAAACGTGGGGCTCAGCATCATCAATGACATCTCCTGGGAGCATGAGCGAGGTTACCGAATCGGTCTCTGGGCAATGTCTGCAAATATAGGAAGTGTTCTGGGTGGTCTCGGTAAGCTTGGCCTTCTTTCTGGGCGATAGACCTGATGGGGGCTGACTTCAGATGGCAGTTGGCGGATTCATCGCCACCGTGAATCAATACTGGGTGGCCTACCACGTCACCATCGCCTTTGCATTTCTCCTGGTATGGGAGGTTTTGTTTCTGCCAGAGACCCAGTATCCTAGGGCGTACGTGGTGGCCCTCGAGCAGCAACAAGCGGCTGCCACGGTGCGAGGGGAAAACTTGCAGAATGCCGTTGTGGACATCAAAAGGACCAAACAACTCCCCTGGCTGGTGAGAGAGGTCCCAGATAGCATGGTACTCATGACACACTAACACATCGCCCAGAACATTCGCAAAATCCCAGGGGTGCTCCATCCGAAACCTTGGGCGACCCTAATCACCTTCTGCAAGCTGTGGGCGTATCCCAAGTTGGTCGCTAGCGTGTGTGGATACATATTTCTCCATTACTGGTGGTATGAGTGCCCTGCATGGCGTGTTCTCTGAACGCAAACTAAAGCAAACCAGGATCGTGGCCCTCCTCTCGATGATCCCTGCTGCCTATGAAGAGTACAAGATCCAGATCCAAGGTTTGTTCTTCACAGGTGCTCTGGTCGGCGTCATCTTCGCCGAGATATTCTGCTCGGGCAATTTGAGTGATTGGATCGTTGCCCGCCTCGCGCGGAAGAACCACGGCCAGCGGACGCCAGAAATGAGGCTGTGGTTGGGGTATCCCGGCGCCATACTCTCTGCCATCGGGCTGGCAGTCTGGGGAGCTTCGGTGCAAGAAGGATGGCATTGGATGGTCGGTCAGGTGGCTCTCTTCCTATTCGCCGTCGGCCTTCAAGCGGGTAACACAACACTGTCGACATATATTGTGGACAGCTACCCGGAGCACGCCATTGAGGTCATAACATTTTACTCCGTCATCATAAATGTGAGTAATCAGCCAAAGGACTGTGACCATCGAGACTGACGCCGAAAAGATGTCCGCATTTATCGTGCCCTGGTACATTTACGACTGGGCCGCCGCAGTTGGTAAGAAACATGTGGATTCCCAGTCGGAAGGCTTTATACTGACAATCGCGCGTAGGATACGGATGGTGCTTCGGCACCCAGGCAATTATTTGCGGCATTTGCCTCCCGCCCATTTATTTCGTACTTCACCGATGGGGTAATCGGTGGGTGAAGCCCATCGTGCTTTCGTCCGATGAGTTGCCCGACGTATCAAGCTTCGAAAGTAGTGTTGATCAAGACAAATAAGTCTGCCACGTCCGACCCAACAAGGTGGATTCTCTTGGAAAAAAAAAAAAAGAAAAAAAAAAAAAAAAAAAAAAAA